AAAGTAGAAAGCATAGTTTAAGAATAGTGAAAACGAATGGATGAATTCAAGACAAACATATGAAATGCATTAATGAAACAGAGTTTGACATCAACAGCTAATTGTTTGAATAACAAAAGAAATTACAACTTGAAAATTCAAATGAAACAAAGACATTCTCAATGATTTGGCATAGGAGCAGTGATCACATTTGGGGTCTCCGGAGGGTCAAACTTGATCTCCTTGGCATCAATCAAGTCTTGAATCTTGTTCTTCAAAGTCCAACAGTCGTCGGTGTCATGTCCAGGACTATCAGAATGGTAGGCACATCTCACACTCGGGTTATACTTAGAAGAGGAAGTATCAGGATTTTGAGGAGGATCCTTTAGCATGATTAACTTCAACTTCAGCAAATGTTGTAACGCTTGAGACAAAGGCATGTTGATGTTAGTATACTGCCTTTCTTGATATCTTACCCTACGCCTATTGCTCTGTATTTGTTGAACAGGCGTGGGATCAGAGATCAGGATTGCCCCTACATGTTGATCATGACGACTCTTTTGACCAGTCACTGCATTGGACTCTTTCTTCCCATTAAAAGGCTTTTTCTGATCATCAGAAGGTGATTCCTCTTGAATCTTCCCACTTATGATGCCAACTTCAACCCTTTCGCCGGTCAGTATTAGCTCGGTGAACCCGGCTGAAGAGCTTCCGATCAAGTGTTTGAAGAAAGGCCCTGTCAAAGTTCCCATGAAGATGTCAATCAGCTCCCTGTCAGTTAAAGGAGGTTGTACCGTGCCAGCCAGATCTCTCCACTTTTGAGCGTATCCTTTGAAGTTTTCGTTGGAACTCATGGTCATGTTCTGCAATTGCATACGAGTTGGTGCAAGATCAGCATTGTACTGATATTGTTTTTAAAAAGCAGCAGCTAAATCTTCCCAAGTGTGGATGCGAGAACTCTCCAATTGATAAAACCATTCAAGTTGAGTCCCTACCAGGCTTTCTTGGAAGAAATGGATCCAAAGCTTTGGATCTGTTGTGTACGGTTGAATCTTGCGGACATAAGACTTTAAGTGCATCTTAGGGCAAGAGACTCCATCGTACAGGGAAAAGATAGGGACTTTGAACTTTGGCGGGATGACTAAACCAGAAACTAAACCCATGTCTCCTAAATCTAAGGCAGGTATCTGTTGAATCTCCGTAGCACTGAGGCGATCCTCCAACTGTTTGTACTTGTCATCAGCGGGAGGGTATTTTTCTTCGGAGTAGTCAGCTTCAACATCATCGATCTCCAAATTGTGGTCTTCTTCAAGACTATCCCCTATGTTGGATGGAGTTGAAAGATCTAGGGTTTTAGGTCTTCTTTTCAAGATGCCCACTGCCTTCTTGGACTTCTTCTTCTTGTCTTTGAGAAGGAGAGCTTTCAGATCCTCTTGCCCTTTACCCATAGCCAGAAGCAATTGTTGGAATTGAGCGTTTTGAGCTTGGAGATCTTTCACTGTTTGTTCCATATCCATCTTACTGAAATAAACAGTAGGAGAATAAGGAAACCTGAAAAGGAAAACCTGTTATGATGCAATGCATGATATGTGGATGCATGTTTCCAAGAATCTCGCGGGGTAAACACAAGAGAAATGTTAGAGGTTGAACTTTGATCAACATCTTTGATTGGAGAACTTTGTATTGGTGGATGTCTTTCCACGAGAATCAAGCTCACCATGTCAAGTGGGTCATAGCCCCTGATTCAAGTTGTTGCACTTGATCTTTGACGGTGTTTGTTCAGAGGGGAACCCTCTTGCCCTTTGGTAGACGTCTGGTTCAACGTGACCCGGCATCAAAAGACCCTCGAGATCCTTGAAATGGTTATTGTAAATGCTATGGTATGATGTTATGATGTTATGTACATGTATGCAAAAGTAAGCAAGTGTATATACAGGCGATCATATTCACACAAAGCAAACAAGTCCTTAGGTTTAGGCTTGCATGGGGTTCATAGGTAAGTACCCTCTTGAAGTTAGTTGGCTCAACCTGTCCTAAAATAGAAACCGGGTTCTAAGGAGCTCAATATCACTGGATTATTTTCTATGTTCATTGTTTTGGTTTAGCCACTTAACTGGCGACCAAAATATTCCAAGAAAACAATCCTCAATGAGTGTATTATCGAGTATCTACCAACTTCAGACTGCACCAAAGTCGGTCATCTCACTACCCCTAAAAAGGCCAAGATGGTCAAGTACGGTTCTAAGAGTTCGTTAGTGCTTCATGACATCGCTCAGCGGCCCCGTATTCTCCTTGACTACTCAAGGGCTATCGGTACCCACAAATATGTCACACTAACATAGCTACTGCTTCAACCATGTCGGTATACCCCGCACAGTTCCCTCACAGTTTATTGCTATTTACCTAAAAAGGTGCCCCCAAATCCGGGTGTAGGATTAAACAAACCCAAACAAGGAACCCAAAAAGCAAAGCAATCAAAGCAATCAAAGAAATCATGTATAGGTGATCTAAAACCCTAAGGTAACCCCACTTTTAGAAAAATCCCCAGCGGAGTCGCCAGTTCTGTGGTACGGTGGGAAAACTGACTTGAGGTTTTGCGTTTGTTTTCGCACTTGTTCGGTTTAGCAAGAGTCGTCACCGACTTTTTATTTTATCCTAAGGGAAGGTAAAAAATCACAAGAAAGACCTTTGAGATGTTTTTGTGGGTTCGGGGGGTAGATTATGAAAAGGGAAGGTGCTAGCACCCTTTTCATCCATGGTTATCCATGGGCTCTTAGTTACTTGTTTTAGATCACTTGCCTTTGCTTTTCAATTGTTTTGAAATGGTGTTTTGTGTGTGTGGTTTTGAAAAATGTTTTGAAAAAGATGCCTTGTCTAGGAAACCTTTGTAATGACTCTTGTTTGAGTATATACAAAGGTGTGTTTCTTTTTGAAAAGATAATTCAATGTTTTGAAAGTTGTTTTGAAATTGTTTTTGAAGTTGTGTTGTGAGGTGTGTTTGAAAAATGGCAAGGATGTTTTGCAAGATTTTTGATCAAGTAACTAACAGTTTGTCTACCCTATTTTACTCAAAGATTTTTCTTATGTTTTTGACCCTTTTAACAATGTTGTTTCACCATTGTGTTTGATGAACAACCTTGCGTTAGGATGTTAAACGAGACAGGCGCGGGTCATCGTATACAATCATTAAAGGAAACTTGTGAGACGCTCTAGCAATTTTGTAAGGGACGGGATCGTTTTATCGAAGGCAACATCGAGGGTCATCGAGGGACTAACGATCTTTGTTTATTGAAGGGACATTTGCTAGAGTGTCTCATACTCGAGGGACATGATTGCATTTTCCGAGGCAACAAGCGAGGTTACCATAGAGGTGCAAGTTTGAATTGTGTATTGATTTTCATGCATTTATCTTGTATTAGGTTATCTAGCGGTTGATTTTGAATCTTCGCATACAAACCCTAATTACTATACAATATATGAAAGGCGATAAATTGCGGTAATTTAAAGTCTAAGCTATTACAAATAAGTATCCGGGGATGGGGGTACAAATGTTTACAAATGGGGGATGAGTCTTATCAGAATAGTAGTGTCCAAATATTATTTACAACCAAATCGAATCGTCGCATTCTCAATGTAAAAATATAGCAAGGTATAAGAATCAAAGAGAATCTAAAGTATTATGAAATGCATATGATTATTTACAAATGATCAAAATATTAACCTAATGCAAAATAAGTATTTTTATTTTTTTTGGTATTTTTGTTAATGTTATATAAACAAAAAGGGGTTTTAAAGAGAAAATTAATTAACTTAATACATCCTATTTTAATGTATTTTGTTAATGTTATTTAGGAATTTATATAAAAAGAATTATTAAACAAAAAGTTTTAAGATAAAAAAATCTATTATTTACAAACTTTTAAATGTAATAAATATTAAAAGCTATTAAGAAAATTTTGTACAAAAAGTTAATATATTATTTTTTACTTAACAAAATAGGTTATGAAAAAAGGAAATAAGGTGATAAAAAAAAAGGATTGATTTGTATAAAAAGGTTAAGAAATTAAATGGGTTGTGAGGAAAATGATTGGCCCAAAATGTATATTGAAAGAGGACAAGAGGGGGCGTATACACGCCAGAATTATGGGCTTAGTGGTTTTGATGGGGCAGTAGCCCAAACGCATTTGACAAGTTTTGTTAGGGTTTCAGTTTGTTTGGCTCAGAATTAGGTTTCACAGTTTGAAACGGCGCCGCTCCCTTCTCATCTTTTTCGCCTCCTCACCATTCTCAAACAGGACCATTGATGCCCTCTATGCCTGGCTACTGGAGTGATGCCTCCACTCTCCTCTCTCCACGGTTTCTCAGGGCGATGAAAAAAAAGGTACCGATTTTCTTCTTCATGCATTTTAGGGTTTTGGATTCGTGCATGTCATTAATCTTTGATGGTTTTATGTTTATGTGAGGTGTAAACCAGTAAGAAGAGGAATCAATACCTTGGGGTTTTTTTGTTGGAGAGGAGACAGAGGGTTGGACGGTGGCACTCTCAGGTGGCTGGGCGAGGGAGCGATATGGTGATGCTAGCTTTTCTGGTACCTCGTATCTTTCTCTTTGAATGTTTAGTGATGAGATTTCTGAAAACCCTAGAATGCTGAGTTCTTTCTTCTTCTTACTTGAACATTGGCTTTTGATGATTATTCTGTGATGAACTCTGGTTCTGAGATGCTTGTTTGCTTCTGAATTTTCCTCTCTTTGGATTTTGTTGACTTTTTCTGATGTTGATGGTTTTGCCTATGATGAACTTGGTTCTGAGGCGCTTGTTAGTGTTATTGGTGGATTTGGTGTTTGAATTTGTATGAGTTTTGGTTTGGATTGAAGGCAAGTTTGCTTGAAATTTTAGGAAGGCAGGTTTATTGGTATTTGTAGTTTGAACTGGGATTTTTGTTGAAGGTTATGCAGGCTTGATGTTATATTTGAACAAGTTCTGAGAGTGTTTATTGTTGTTTGAGTTTTGCAAGTTTGACATGTTTTTTAGCAGGTTTGAAGGCTTGGATACAGGCAGGCTTGGATACAGGAAGGCTTGGATACAGGCAGGCTGCAAGGCTTGTGTTGGTTTGTAAGTTTGAAAAAGGTTTTGAATAGGCTTGAAGGCTTGCTTCTGTAAGTTTTGAGTTTTTATGAAGGTTTCTGGTACAGGCGGGCTGTTGTTATGCAGGCTTGCTTGTGTTTGAACACAGGTTTATTGGTTTCTGGTCTTATGCAGGCAGGCTTGCTGTTATGCTTGAAAGCTTGTATTCTCAAGCAGTTTTGCAGGTTTTCTATAATTGCAGGTTTTTGTTCGTTTGTTCACAGGCTTGTGGTTCTCTCTTTCTTTTTCTCTTCTGAACCGCCCTCCTCAACAATGCTTTTTTCTTGTTATATTTATCTATCTCCTTAGCCTGCCAAATTGCAAACCTGTTTTACTTTACTCTCTTTCTCTCTCTCCATAAAGAAAGCATATTTTATTGCTTAAAGTACTTTTTAATTTCTGAAAAGGTGATGGCCTGGAAAATGATGAAAAATTGCTTGCTTGTAACTTGGTTTTCCTCTGCATTCTGTACTTTCTTCCAGATTTCCTGCATTGCCTTTTTTGACAGCTTCTTTGACAGTTTTGTTGACAGCTTATTTGACAGTTTGTCTAACTTAGTTTGCTTTGTTTGACATTGCAACTTGGTTTGTTCAGTTTGAATTTGTGCAACTTGGTTTGCTCAGTTTGAACTGGTGCAGCTTGTCCCTTGTATTACATGCTGCCTTGTGCCTTCTATTTAATTGATTTATATGTTTGCAAAATAATTTTACTTTCCTCTTTGTGAACCAAGAAGAGAAATCTTCTTGTGATTTGCAAAGAGGATGAGCAAAATATGATGAAAATCAAAACAATCTGATTTCGGCCAACAACCTTTAATGATGAGTTTTTGATTATCTGTCTGAGAATACCTTTCAATTTAACTGTATTGACTCCTTTTTTTCTTCTTTGCAGGTAAATACTAGTTGGGGATCAGAGAAGTATGAAGACTTCAAGAGGCTTAGAAGATAGTTTTGTTTTATTTTTAATCATTGTAATAAACATTATTGTAAACACTGTAAATAAATTTACTGTATTCAAATAACACTTGTAACAATAATTAAAATAAATAAAATCTTTTGTCAGATATATCAACCTTTTCTTTTACACTGTTTATCCATTTACTTAAATCTCTTGAATTAAAATGACTGGAAATGCATCCCAATTATTTTAACTTAGATAAAATAAATAATTAACAAACATTGTAGTCTCACAACCTCGCATTAACCAGCAATACGCCCGACATTCCAATTAATCACACGCTTTGCATAGTTAAACAAACAAACGTTATACACCTTTTACCTTACTGATCAAACTAAAGCTTCAAACTTTCAAATCAAATGCCTCAGCTTCTATCCCAGATGTTTAGGCTTTGTGAAACAAACAGAAATCTTGAACAAGCGTCAAAAACACGTGACAGTCAATTGAAATACTGTGGATTCAAACTCTTCTGAGAATGCGCGTGTAAACCCTAATTTTGTTTGACTGATAAGAAATCAATGGAACCCCTAATTTTGGGTAGACTGATAAGGAAAGTCTGTTTGACCGATTCTTGAGCCAATCTGAAAAAATCAGAGAAAACCCAAAGCTGCGATTTCTTGTGAAAAAGGGGAGGGCGAATTTTGGGGTACAACAATCAGCTATTGCAGACTCCTTCAAAGATATTCATCCTAGCTTTATTGATGAATTCCTCCGCTCATAGAGAATCACTGATGAGAGTATTAGACCAAGATTTTGTAGAGAATGACATTCCGTTAGATTAATTCAGCAGCGTAATTGCAAACATTACGTCATGTAACAACTTGAGTTTCTGCGATGAGTTACCAGATGAAGGGAGGAATCACAACCTGGCCCTCCATATATCTATGAACTGCAAAGACGATTCTCTATCCAATGTGCTGATTGATAACGGATCTGCATTGAATGTTATACCGAGGAGTACTCTCATAAAGCTAAAGTATCAGGGAACACCTATGCGCCCGAGTGGCATCATTGTGAAGGCTTTTGATGGGTCGAGGAAATCTTTCATCGTTGAAGTAGACTTACCCATCCACATAGGACCACATTTGTTCTTGATAACTTTCCAGGTAATGGACATTTTTCCCGCGTATAGTTGTTTGCTAGGACGACCATGGATACACGAAGCAGGGGCTGTCACTTCAGCTCTGCATCAGAAGCTAACGTTTGTGCGTGAAGGGAAGTTAGTGATCATAAATAGGGAGCAAGCATTGTTGATATCCCATCTATCCTCTTTCAGTATTGTAGAAGCGGATGAGGCTGTTGTTGGAACCCAATTCCAAGCCCTATCCATTGACAACATAAGGAGGAATGAGAATTTCGTGGTTTCTCTGAAGGACGCGCAGCAGGTTGTGCGCAATGGTCATAATATAGTTTGGGGACAACTTGTGGATCCACCCATGAACAAGAACAAAACTGGTTTTGGTTTCTCTTCGAAGAATGGCAAAGGCAAAAGTTTGAAGTTAAATTCTTTTGTGAACAATTATCATGATGTTTTCCGCAGTGGAGGCTACCTCCATCCAATTGGTTCTGGAATTAATGTTGTTGAAGAGGATGAAGAAGAGCAGGAAGTAACAAATTATGTGACGCATGGAGTCCGAGTTCAGAATTGGGTCACCATTGATGTTCCTTCTTGCTTACATGTTTCAAAGTAATTTGTTTTGTTAATCTGTTTCTTTCTTTTGAAAAGCTTTCACTCTGCCCAAGGTGAAAGTATTGTATGGGCTTATCTGTTTGCTTTGATTTTTAAAATCAATAATAAAAGTTGTCTTTGTTTCCCATATTGTGTCTTTATTTTCTGCTTTTTCTTGGAAAATGGTAATCAGAAAAAACCTTTCAAAATAAATAATAACTGAAAATTAATATGCATGATCACTTGTTATATGTGTCAGTCTCTAAAAACAATCAAAAATCACATGTGCAGATTAATTAAAAAACCCGTTGAATACAATGACCCTACACCCTCTCCCAACTTTGAATGTCCTGTGTTTGGGGCTGAAGAAGAAGATTATGATGAGATTCTAGAAGAGGTCTCACGGTTTCTTGAGCAAGAGGAAAACACCATGCAGCCATATAAGGAGCCTTTGGAAGTGGTTAATTTGGATTCAGAAGAAGATCTGAAGGAAGTTAAGATTGGAGCATCATTGCATCCTGATGTAAAGAGAGGGTTGATTGAGATGTTGAAAGAGTGTGTGGATATTTTTGCTTAGTCTTATCAAGATATGCTTGGTCTAGATACAAACATTGTCGAGCATCATTTTCCGTTGAAGCCAGAGTGTCCGCCAGTTAAACAAAAGTTGAGAAGAACCCACCCGGATATGGCAGTAAAGATCAAAGAGGTGGTTCTAAAGCATATTAATGCTGGTTTTCTTTAGACATCAGTGTATCCTCAATGGATTGCCAATATTGTCCCAGTACCGAAAAAAGACGAAAAAGTCCGCATGTGCGTAGGTTACAGAGATCTAAAAAATGCTAGTCCAAAATATGATTTTCCATTGCCTCACATTGACATGTTAGTGGATAGCACAACAAAATTCAAGGTATTCTCGTTCATGGACGGAATTTCCGGGTATAATTAAATAAGAATGGCTCCAGAGGACATGGAAAAAAAAATGTTTATCACACCCTAGGGAACATTCTGTTACAGAGTGATGCCCTTCGGGTTGAAGAATGATGGTGCAACGATCAGAGGGCTATGACAACCCTATTCCATGATCTGATGCACAAAGAAATCGAAGTATATGTTGATGATATGATTGCCAAATCTCAGACTGAAGAAGGGAATACAGAAGATTTGTTGAAGTTGTTTAAGCATTTGAGGAAATATCGTCTCTGCTTGAATCGAAATAAATTCACCTTCAGAGTTAGATCGGGGAAATTGTTAGGTTTTATTGTTAGCCAGAAAGGAATTGAAGTTGACCCTGATAAAGTCAGAAATTCAAGAAATGCCAGCACCAAGAACTGAAAAGCAAGTCAGGGGTTTTCTCGGGCGTTTGAATTATATCTCCAGATTTATTTCCCACATGACTGCAATGTGTGAACCGATCTTTAAGTTGTTAAATAAAGATCAAGGTTGTGTGTGAACGGATGATTTCCAAAGGGCATTTAAAAGTATTAAAGAGTATTTTCTTGAACCTCTTATCTTTCTCCCTCCCGTAGAAGGAAGAGAGTTGACTATGTATCTAATAGTGTTAGATAAATCCATGGGTTGTATTATGGGACAACAGGATGAAACGGGAAAGAAAGAGTTCACCATTTATTATCTTAGAAAAAAGTTCACTGATTGTGAGTCGCGGTATTCTATGCTAGAAAAAACATGTTGTGCTTTGGCCTTGGCGGGAAAGCGTTTGTGGCAGTATATGTTGAATCATACTACTTGGTTGATCTCTAAAATGGATCCAATCAAGTATATTTTTGAAAAGTCTGCTCTTACTGGGAGAATTTCCCACTGGCAGATGTTGTTATCAGAATATGATAACGAGTACCGCACTCAAAAGGCTATCAAAAGTAGTGTGTTGGCAGATTACCTTGCTCACCAGCCAGTGGAAGATCATCAGTCTGCAGAATATGAATTCCCCAATGAAGATGTGATGTTCTTGAAAGTGAAAGATTTTGATGAACCATTTCCTGAGGTGGGCCCCGACCCTGAATCTCGTTGGAGTATGGTATTTGATGGAGTTGTGAATGCTTATGGTAAAGGAATTGGTGTTGTGATTGTCACTCCTCATGGATCGCATATTCCTTTTACTGCAAGGTTAACATTTGATTGCACTAATAATATGGCTGAATACGAGGCTTGCATCATGGGTCTCGAGGAAGCTATTGATCTCACAATCAAAATTCTAGATGTGTATGGTGATTCAGCCTCGATAATAAATCAGATCAAAGGAGAATGGACACTCGTCATCCTGGCTTGATCCCTTACAAAGACTATGCTAGAAGATTATTACCCTTCTTAAATAAAGTTGAATTCCATCACATTCCTAGAGATGAGAATCAAATGGCAGATGCTCTGGCAACTTTGGCTTCCATGTACCAAGTAAATGCTTGGAATGATATACCCTATATTACGGTTCGGCGGCTAGATAGGCCCGCTCATGTGTTTGCGACAGAGGAGGTAGCAGGTGAAAAACCTTGGTATTATGATATCAATCATTTTCTTTAGACTCAGGAGTACCCGCTTGGTGCATCAAAGAAAGATAGAAAGACACTAAGAAGATTGACAGGCAGCTTCTTCCTCAGTGAAAATGTGTTATACAAGAGAAACTATGACATGGTCTTGCTCAGATGCGTGGATAGACACGAAGAAGACATGTTGATGCATGGGATCCATGAAGGTTCATTTGGCACTCATGCTAATGGACATTAAATGGCTAAAAGGATGCTAAGGGCAGGTTATTATTGGTTGACAATGGAATTCGATTGTTACAAATTTGCAAAGAAGTGCCATAAATGCCAGATTTACGCAGATAAGATTCATGTGCCTCTGACACTTCTAAATGTTATTTCTTCCCCGTGTCCTTTCTCTATGTGGGGTATTGACATGATCGGGATGATAGAACCCAAAGCTTCGAATGGACACCGTTTCATCTTGGTAGCAATTGACTACTTTACCAAATGGGTAGAGGCTGCTTCATATGCCAATGTTACCAAACAGGTGGTTATGCGTTTCATCAAAAACAATCTTATATGTCGGTATGGTGTGTCGAGCAGAATCATCACCGATAATAGCTCGAATTTGAACAACAAGATCATGACAGAACTTTGTGAAGAATTCAAGATTGTCCATTATAATTCATCTCCATACAGGCCAAAGATGAATGGGGTTGTTGAAGCTGCTAATAAGAATATCAAGAGAATTATCCAGAAAATGGTTGTCGCTTATAAAGATTGGCATGAAAT